AGGTTAAAGGAACTATTTCACACTCACCAAATGAGTGAAGAGCAAAGCAGAAGTGTGAACATTTGCCAGGCTGGGGACTGAGCGACAGAACGCTCGAGCCAGGGCACACACAGGAGCGTGCAGTGACGTCCACACGTCTCGTCCCAGTAATCCCACCCGAGACCATCTCAGGAAATCTTTCCAACTGCAAAGACTGGTACGTAGCAACTGCAGGCCTGCTGAACATCGAGGGGAAAAAAGTATCCGTAAGAGGGAGCAACAGGGAAGAAACACGTGTGGGGACCTGTGTGGCTCCCTGCGTTCCGGAGAACGTGGGAAAGATGCAGACACATACACCTAACTGCCATTACCGCTGATGCCAGGGCCCGGCACCGGGGGAACTTACTTGGGCCTTTGTTCACCTCTCCTTTGCCATAAGGCACACAACGTATTTGCTTTTGTAATGTTAGAATATTTAAGAGGCAGAGAGGGCACTCCGTCCACTGGCTCACTCCCTAAATGCCCACACAGGCCAGCCAGGGGGGCAAGGACCCTACCACTCGGGCCATCACCTGCTGCTTCCCAGGGCGCGCATGAGCAGGAAGCCCGAGTCTGGGCACACTCTCTGCGCCAGCTGGTAAGCCACGCTGAGAACACCTACACTCCATATGGACGTGCCTGGCTCAAGGCCCAGCTACTCTGCTTCCAATCCCACTTCCTGCTAACACAAACCCAGAGAGGTGGCGACTCAAGTTCCTGCCATCCACAAGGGAGACCTGGACTGAGTTCCAGGCTCTTGGCCTTGGCCTGGCCCAGCCTTGGCTATGGCACATTTGGCCATTCGGCTATGGGCATATGGGGGATGATTAACAGATGGGAGCTCGCTCACTCGCTCTTTCCCTGAGAGTCTCTGTGAAATAAAAGAAGGAAGGAAGGAAGAGAAAAAGAAAAAAGTCACAATGAAGACACAACCACTATTAGGTAATACTCCAACATTCCTCACCAGCAAAGATCAAACAAAAAGTAGGACTCCCAGGAGCCGGCACTGTGGTGCCTGCGGTGCAGCTGGTTAAGCTACACCCTTGCAATGCCTTATTTCATATCAGAGGCCAGTTAGAATCCCAGCTGCTCCACTTCTGTTCCAGCTCCCTGCTAAGGCACCTGGCAAGGCAGCAGAAGATGGCCTAAGTGCTTGGGCCCCTGCACCCACGTCGGCAATCCGGATGGAGCTTCTGGTTCCTGGTTTCCGCCTGGCCCAGCCACGGTTGCTCCAGGCATTTGGGGAGTGAACCAGTGGGCCGAAGAATTCTGTCACTCTGCCTTTGAAATAAATAATCTTCAAAACAAAAACAAAACCGGGGGAAACCCCCAGTGTGAGTTAAACTGTGGGTGAGCTGGCACATCTCTCAGAGCCCTCCAGCAGAGATGACAGAAGGCCAAGGGAGGGAGAGACTTGTAAGTTTATGATGTCCAACCCTTTTCTTCACATGACCGAGAAAGCTGGGTGCCGGACGAGTGGAAGACCACACACCTGTCAGAGGCAGGGCCAGGCCAGCAGGTGCACTGCTCTGCTGCCGGCAGATAATGCTGTTCACAGGCGCCTTCACGCCTACTGCCTCCTCTGCCTTTTACCTGAGCCTGAGGTTTCCACAAATGAGAGCCTGCATTTGCAGCCTTCGCCTAAATCACGGGGCCAGTCACTCCCGCTCCCCAGAGTGGTCTGCAAGGCCCAGGTGGGTTCCCCAGCCCCAGGCACTGGCAAATGAGTGAAAACCCAACAGCTGGGAGAAAGCTGAGCCAACAGCTGGGAGAAAGCCGAGCCACCTGCTGTTATCCCATCAGATGCCGGGAAGTTGCAGGCAGAGCAGAAATCCGCACCAGAAACCCCACGGGACAGCCACGAGGCGCCTGATCTCAGGGGCCAGTCTACATCCACCTGGCCCCCAGCACCACGGCGGGGACACCGACCCCCTTCCCAACTCCCCCCACTCAGCTCCGTGTTCTTCCTGGCCTCACAGGATGCACCCTCTCTCCCATTCGGGGACACAGATGCGGCTCACCTGGGCCGACTCAGCGAACACTGGCTCTCACGCCGCTTCCAGAAAGGGCAAGGCCGGCGTGGTGAGCCACGCTCATCTGAACCAGAAACTGACAGGACGACGCGGCGCCCCAGGCGCAGAGCCTCTGAGGTGGGGTTTTTCAGCAGAGAGGCAGAGTTGGCCAGCCCGGTCCGGTATCTGAACCAGGAATCAGAGCTCAGGCTCCTACCAGGCAAGTCCGCCCTTCCCTCGGGGACACATGGGGGAGAGGGTGTCCCATCACTGCAATATTCTGCTTTTGCTTTAATTTAGAAAGACGGCGTGTGTCAAACTGGATGCGAGAAAAATGACAATAAAATAGCTTACTTGTTAGACGCTCTCCGGTGGGCGTCCTCCCGGTGCCCAAAGACCCTTCCAACAGGCCGCTGGGCGCAATCAGTGAACACACCTGGGACTCACGCAACCACAGCCCCCACCTCGGGCGGCAGGTGCTGGGCCAGCAGCCCCGGACAGGGGCACTTCCTTGCTTGTGCTTCTCCAGAATGGACAAGCGCTGCCCAGCACGGTCTTCGAGCGGAGTGACTGGCTTAGAGCGCGCACCGCCCACGTGTCACTAGGCGGAAGCGCCACGTGCTCATGCACCTGGGAGTCTCCACACAGCCAGCCCCGTCCCCTCCCGGAAGTCCGGAGGGGAGGAGGCTCCTGACAAAACCCAGCTCTCCTGGGCCCTTCCCTGGTCCGCACGGGCAGAATCTCTGGGGTCCCCAGAAAGGGACGTCTGCACCTCCCGCACTCCAGCAGGAGGCCGGGTGCTGAGTTCAAGCTGCACAGGTGGGGGTGGGGGAGGTCCCAGCCCCTGGGATCCCAGGCCGCCACCCGCGATCCAGCGGCCATGGCGCAGTCTCCCCTCAGATGCACCAGCCCTCCCCTTCCTCTCTCAGGGCTGTGGGCCGAGCGCCACTCAGCCAGGAACCCGTGCCGGCCAGCGTGGGCCTCAGGGCCCACACCTGGGGAATGGGGGCACTGGGCGCCGCCCCTGCCGTTCTGGGGCTGGCGCTGGCCTTGCGCACTCATTTGCAGGGCAGGCCAGGTGCCCCTAATTGTCACTTAACCAGCATTCTGATGGGCTTGCGGCGTGTTTGGGGGGGAACTCGTGTTTTTTGTTGGTAGAGTGCATCCTGGCTAAACTGCAGTAACGACCAAAAGCTGCCTTCCAGGCCGATTTCCAAGCGCCGCCACAGGCCCTGCTGAGCTGCGGGGGCCGGCAGGTATCTCACCGAGTGCGGGTGCAGGGCCGGCGGGGGCTCGGGCGGAGGGACGCTGGCTGACCTCGTGACACCGGCCGGCCCAGCCGGTCTCGGCGGCTAAAGGGTGAGCCGGCGACTCACACACGACGGCCCGAGCCGGCTCCCGGGGGTCACCTGAGGCGGCCCCTGCCTGCCGCGCTGGGGGGGTGTCGTCCCAGGCGGTCTCCCTCACACCCCGTCGTGTCCCCACAGAGCAGGACGGGCGTCGCCCGCGGGCCCGGCCCTTCCCGGTGGGCCTCAGTTTCCCCTCGCAGCAGCGGGGACGGCCGCGGAGAGCCGGTGACGGGAGGCCCCCCACCCCGGCCCGGCGAGGGGCACACAGTAGGCGCTCCGGAAACGCTCTCCGGGAGGAGGAACGGGCCACTTCCTGCCCCCGGGCGGACGGCGGCGAGCCCAGGTCCCACCGCTCCCCCTCGGAGGCCATGCGGCATTCCTGAGGTGGGGGTGGGCGCAGGAAGAAGGTGCCCGGCGGCCCCGCCCCCTCCGGGCGCGGGGGGCGGGGCGAAGCCCCTCGGCGCCGTCGGCCCGCCCCGCGGGGGGTGGGCGTCGCTCGCCGCGCTCCGCACAAAGTTTGTTTTCTGCCCGCGGGCGGGCGGGTGGGGGAGGAGAGGGGATCTGACGTCAGGCCGCGAGGTGCTTTCCAGCCGCGAGCTGTCAGGCCGGGTGTCAGGCCCGGCAGGTACGCGGCGCGCTCCCCCGGCGCCCCCGCCCCCCGTGGGACGCCCCGCGCCGCGCGCCAGGCCGCGAGGACCGCAAGCCGCTAGCGAGAGTCAGTGCGGGGCGCGGGGGCGGGGCGGGGGGCTCGCGGGCAACTTGGAAAGTTTCCTCGGCTCCGCCGGGCGGGGGAGGGGGCGGCGTCCGGCGCGTGCGGCCGAGGGTGCGGGAGCGCGGCGCGCGGGGGGTGGGGTGCGGGGTGAGTCCCGGCCGCGGGGTGCCGGCCGGGAGGCTTCTGCGACCCCCAGGAGGACGCTCGCTCGGGGCCCTTGTCGTGGAGGGGGGGGTTGCCCGGCTCGCCGGGATCCCACCCTGGGAGGAGGCCGCCCATGCCCCGGACCGGAGTGAGCGCGCGGGGGGCGGGTTTGTTTGGTTTCAAAAGTGCACGTTGCTAACCGCCGGCTGGGCCCCCCCCCTCCCGGTGGCCGCGCCGGGGAGGGGGCCGCCGAGAGTGACAGCTGGGGGTGGGGGCAGCGGGAAGGGCCCCGAGCGGGGAGGGCTGGGGAGCCCGCGCGAGTTCCCCTTTCCTTTGGAACAAAGGAAAGTCTGTCTCCGAGGCATCTGTCACTCCCGGGCGGGCCGGGGAAGCGGGGCGCGTGGGGCCGGCGACCCGGAGAAAGTTTGTGCGCGCCGGGAGCCGCGGGCAGGCCGAGGGTGAGCCGAGCTCCCGCGGGGGAAGCGCGCAGCCCCCAGGGCAGGGGGCGGCCAACATGGAGTCTGGGCGCTGGCTGGGGGGGGGGGGCGGCGCGGAGGTGGGAGCCCAGCCCCCTCCCCTCCCCTCTCCTCCCCTCCCCCTCCGGGCCGAGTTCGCAGCACAAAGCCGAGCGCGCACGCTCCGCCGGCCCCGCGCCCCGAAGAGTCGGCAGCGCAGAGCGGCCGGGGAGGGGGTGGGAACCAAACTTTTTCCTGCCCCGGGACAGACATGTGAGTCTTCTTCCGGAGCGCTCGCCCCACGGGGATCGAGGGCCTGCGGGGGGAGCCGCGGCACCGAGTTGGACCGGGGCGAGGGGCTGGGGGTGCGGGCGCCCCCAGCGCCTCCGCGTCCTCGCCGCGAGCCATGTGCTCCGGCTCGGGCCGGGCGGCGGGGGAGGCTGCGCGCTTTGTGTGAACGGCTGGGAATGCGGGCGGGAGTGTCGGGGCCGAGCTGGGGGAGTTGTCACAAAGTTCCTGCGGGAGTGGCTGCAGGTGGCGTCGTGGGGGCGTGCAGGGGGCGTCGTGTCCGGGGGTGTTGCTGCCGATCGGCGAGTCTGGGAACCTGTGGCGTGGGTGCGTGGAGCGGCCGGAGTTGGGGGGTGCGGGTGTGGGGGGGTTCACAGCTGGCGCAAGCTGGGGGGAGTGCGAGCTGCGTGTAATGGGACGTGTCCATGGAACTTGGAGGGCTGCAGCGCTGGGTGGGAGCCGGGTGTCACAGCGCTGCTCTCTGGCGTGTTGGGGAGTGTGTGTTTGGGAGTGGGGTGTGGGATGCCCAGGGGAAAAGGCTGGTGTAGATTGAGGGGGTCATCTCCAGGGCCCACCCCTGGAACCGTGCGGCCGGGGAGTTGGCTGGCAGCCAGAGTGGAATTTATCCAGATAACCTTGAGTAAGCTTCCGGGGGAGTGCCAGGGCCGCATCCCTGAGCCCAGATCCCAGCTGCCCTGGCCACCAGCAAAGATCTGACCTCTGAAAGCAGCCTGCTGGTGCCGTCCTCGGTCCCCACCTCCAGGTGGCCTGGCCGGGAGCATGGACCCTTCCCTCGAAAGCCTGGCCGAGCTGGCCGGAAGATCTGGGCTCAGGCCCAAGTCCAGGAAACAAAACCTGGGAATGCCAGGGTCTGCTGGCTCAGCCTGCTGGGGAGCTGTTAAAGGGCTGAGAAGGGAGGGGCCCTGAGATTCTGGCATCCCCTTGGCCAGAACTTTTGCCTTTAGAATGTAAATCTCTGTTGCATGTGTGAACAAGGACTTAGTCTGGGCTGCCAGCAGCTGACTTAGGTTATCAGGGATCATCAGGCAGTGGTTTGACAGGTGAGGGAGGGGTCTTCGGGCACAGAGGAGAGGACAGTGGCCCAGGGTGGCACAGCCAAGTGGGCAGAGCAGGCAGAGGAGAACGTCTAAGTGACCAGCAGGTTTAGCACTGCCGTCTCTGCTGGGTGCGGAGTGGGGACTGAAGAGTTGGCCAGCTTGCTGCCTGCACGCCGCGGCCTGCAGTGTGCGACTCCCGGGGAGGCGTGGTTGGGGAGTCCTACCTATCTTGGAGGTGGGGTCACCCCCACCACGGCAGATTTATTGAGCTATGACAGACAATTTACTCAGTTAAAGTACACACTTCAGTGATTCTTAGCAGGTTCATAACTGCAATTTTAGGGCAATTTTATCACCTCGCAAAGAACCTCTGGGGCTGGGCCTTTGCTGCCGTGGTGGAGCCACCACTTGGGATGCCTGCCTGGGTTTGGTTTCTGATCACAGCTTCCTACTAAGACGTGCTCTGGGCCGGTGCCGCGGCTTACTAGGCTAATCCTCCACCTTGCGGTGCTGGCACACTGGGTTCTAGTCCCGGTCAGGGCGCCGGATTCTGTCCTGGTTGCCCCTCTTCCAGGCCAGCTCTCTGCTGTGGCCAGGGAGTGCAGTGGAGGATGGCCCAAGTGCTTGGGCCCTGCACCCCATGGGAGACCAGGAGAAGTACCTGGCTTCTGATCAGCGCGGTACGCGGGCCGCAGCACTCCAGCCATGGCGGCCATTGGAGGGTGAACCAACGGCAAATAAAAAGACGTGCTCTGGGAGGCAGCAGATGATGGCCAAGTATTGTGTCCTTGACACCTGCACTGGCCACGCACGGGGGACCAGCCAGGATTATTGCTGGGTTTTGGGATGTGAACCAGCGGATGGAGGATCTTTCTCTGCTTTTCAAATGAAGTGGAAGTAAATTAATTATATTTAAAAAGGAAACCCTGCTTACTTGAGCCATCACCCTCCTGTGCTCCAGCCCCACCTAACTCATGAACCTGCTGTTTGTAGAGCTGCCTTTTGAATGACATCAGACAACATGTGGCCTTTGGGGGCCGGCCGCTTCCGCTCGCTGTAAGGCGCTGTGGGAGCAGGTAGCAGGGCTCTGCACCTTCTTGGGGCCAAATAATATTCTGGTGCATCTTTGGCCCTTAGTCTGCTGGTGGGCACTTGGAGCGCCTCTCCCTTTGGGCTGCACACGTGTGCGCAAGGTCTGGAGTGGATACAGGCTCTCCTTTCTTGGTGGGGGGAGGGTCATTCCACTTCACCTCCAGCCAGGCAGGTGGCCTGGGAGGGTAGCAACAGGCCTGGAGGCAGTTCTGGTAACTGACCCTTCCCTGTGGCACTTGTTGCAGACCCCCAGCCTAGCCCTCAGGCGCCATGTCGGACAGCGACCTGGGCGAAGACGAGGGCCTCCTGTCCCTGGCCGGCAAGAGGAAGCGCCGGGGGAACCTGCCCAAGGAGTCGGTGAAGATCCTGCGGGACTGGCTCTACCTGCACCGCTACAACGCCTACCCCTCCGAGCAGGAGAAGCTGAGCCTCTCGGGACAGACCAACCTCTCCGTGCTGCAGGTGAGCAGGGCTGGCCGCCTGCCGCGGTTCTAACCAAACGCTGGGCCTAACCAAATGCCGGGCCTAACCAAACGCTGGGCCTCTAGCCCCAAACACAGAGCCAGGCTCCTCCCCAATGGGCCTGGGGCTCTTCCTGGCTCAAGTGGAACAACCAAGGTCCTTGGGGAGTTCTGACCGGAATGCCTAGAGGCCAGGGAGGGGCTGAGAGGGCTTGAGTTTCTGGGGTTTTGGCTGTGCTGGTTTGCAGTTACGTTTATGGGAAGGGCAGACAGGGGGTCTGGGTTCCAATCCCACTGTTGCTGGGTCTCGATTCCTCACCTGTAAAACGAGGGTTTCCCTCTTCCCTGTTGGGAGGAGGACTTCATGACCGGATGTCGCGGGGGTACTTGGAGATGGCGCCTCCCCTTCTGTCCGGAGCTCCAGAGCCGCCCTGATGTTGCCTGCGGTGACTGCCCTGTGTTGGTGGAGCTGAGGCAGGATGCCCCCCACCACCCCTTGCCTGTGCACAGTGTGTGTCTCTCCTCCCGGGGAGACACGTAGTAGGCCCTCAGCATAGCGCACGGGTCAGCTTCTGACCCTGGCCACCCGCTACGCCCTCTGTGGGCTGCCGAGCCTCTCCCCACCTCTGTCCTTTCATGGCCGGCTCCTTGTCCATTGTGTCGCAGGCCCTCCCTCCTTCCTTTCCCCACTCTGCAGCCCCTGCTGTCCCCCCGGCTCCCCAGCTCCTCTGTCTTCAGTGGAGAGAGTTTTCAGCCAGGGAGCACTGGTCACCTGACTGCTTGCTGGCGGCAGCAGCTGGTCTGCGGAGGGGCTGGAGTGCAGATCCTGACTCGATGCCGCCTCGTGCACAGAGCAGGCCCTGGCCGTGGCTTGTCTTCTCTCTGAACCCCGCTGTTTGCTCATCTGAAGAAGGGACCGGGACTGTTGTGATGGGGATGTGGACAGAGAGGGCCGGCTGAGAGGTCCTCCAGGCTGTCAGGTGCTTGGCTCCGGTAGGGCCGCCCCTCTGGTTCTCTCCTCCCTACCTAGCTCCTACGCTGTCACTAACCTGCTGCCTCCCAGCACCCCGCGGTGCCCAGCTCCATGCCTCCAGCGTGGGAAGGGCAGATAGGGGTCTGGGTTCCAAGGGGTAGCTGGCCAGACTAGGCCACTGATGTTTGCAAAAATGGCTGCTGCTGGGACAAAGGGCACCGAGACCAGGCAAGGCACAGGTGCCCTCGAACATAAAGCGTGTAGAACTGCATGGGCCTAGGGCCTGACGGCCAGGTTTCCCTGGACAGCCCCGGGACTGGGCGCCCTGCCTCCAGCCGCCCTCCTTCGGTCCATCCTTTTCTCCCCAGAGTACAGATCTCATTAGCACACTCTCCACTGTCCTTAGGGTGGAGTCCACCCTCCTTAGCGGCTTCTCGGCCTCATCTGTCCCCCTGCTGGTCAGTGCTGTTGGCGGTTGATGTTGCTGGGAGCACTAGTCCTCAGAAGAGAAATGCGCCCCTCTTTTTGTAAGACTCACTTATCTAGTGGAAAGGCAGAGTGACAGAAGGAGAGATCTTCGATCCTCCAGTTCACTCCCCAGATGCTCACAACGGCCAGGGCTGGGCCAGGCCAAAGCCAAGCACGGGGAAAGCAGAGCTCAAGAACTTGGGCCATCATCTGTCGCTACCCAGGAGCCTTAGCAGGGAGCTGGATGGAAGTGGAGAGCTGGGACTCAGTCCAGCACTTAAGTGTGTACAGACATAACAACAGGCTTACAATTTCTTTTTCCTTTTGCTTTTTATAAGATTGATTTTTTTGAAAAGTGGAGCTGGGGGGGGGGGGTCCATCCATTGGTTCCCTTCCCAGATGGCCGCAACAGCCAGGTTGAAGCCAGGAGCCAGGAATTCCATCCTGGTCTCCCAGTTGGGAGGCAGGGGCCCAGGCAGGTGGCCTGTCTCTTGCACCTTCCCAGGCACAGTGGCGGGGAGCTGCATTAGAAACGGATCTCCTGGGACTAGCTCTGGTGCTGATGTGGGATGCCAGCGTTGCAAGCAGTGTCTGAAGCCAGCCGCTGCCTTTGCTCTTACACCCGAATGTCAAACCAAATCGTTTCCCAAAGTGTGTAACTGTGGGAACGGTGAAGTCCTGCTTGCCTGCATTTCATCGAAACCGGTGGGCCGTGTGCTGACTATTCTCCAAAGCCTGTCATGTACCCACCAGTGATCAGAACGCAGACCCCCAGGGCGGCGCAAGCACAGATCTCTCAGAACCCCCAGATCCACAGGCAGCCCTGGTGGCCTCCAGTCAAGGAGGCACCAGCTGGTGTTTGCAACAGGCTGCCTTAACTGGTGACTCCTGCAAGCTGACCCTCCGCTTCTCAGCGCTTCCTCGGGCTTGCCCCCCTCAGCTCCCGTGGCCAGTCACCAGTTCTGTGCACACACCCTGCAAGGCCACTAGAATGTGGCTTCTTGCCCGTACCAATCCAGGCCACCACTGGTCACTCCCCTCCCTAAAGCCCTCCAGTGGCACCTGCCAGCCTACTGACGGCATCATGTGCCCTGGTTCCTGGGTCTCTGGTTCTGGGTCACTGGCCCGCAGGCTCCTGCTGCACACACTGGGCAGCGCCCAGACCCTTTCCCTCCCTGGGCCCCTGGACCAGCTCGGTGCTCCTACAGCAGCTGGGCTGGGGCGGGCTCGGTGGCACAAGGCTGTGGTTTCATTTTAGCTGTCACTCAAGTCTGGAAGGGTGGGGGCAGAGACCTGGATTGCTCATTGCTGTGGCTACAGTGTTCAGCCCGGGCTGGACACTCAGGACCCGGGAGGTGGGGGTCAGGAAATCATCCAGGGCTGTCGCGGTTGCGAGGCAGGGCTGCAGAAGTGAGGGGGTGTGGAGGCTCCTCCGCTAGGAAACCGAGCCCCTGGAGGCATCCTGGTTTTTATTCTCGGATATCCACACAAGTGAGTGAATGCGGCAGAGCGGGCCCGCCTCCTTACCTCTCCCCGGGGCGTCTCTTTTGATTGTCTCCTGTAACCCGCCCGGTAGCGGTCTCATTAGCAAGTCAATGAGTCACTTAAGTCACCCGGTGTGCTGGGGCTCGCCCCGGGCCGGGCAGTCTGCTGGGCAGGACCAAAAAAGTCTTTTGTGAAGGATTTTCACAGGTCCCCGTGACGCCCTCGGTGCCTGGGCGGTGGGGGTTGCAGGAGATCCTGCTCTCCTGGTTCCCTTGGGGCTGCCTGGGGGGGGGCGCGGGGCCCTCCTAACCTCTGACATTGGCTGCAGGCCGGAAACGCGGCCTCCTCACGGCTGCAGGTGGCCCCTCAGGTGCAGCTTCCACGAGGCCTACTGTGGGCCCTGCCCAGCCGCCCAGCCCTCCTGGTGCGAGGCTGGGGTGGCCAGGCCCCCAGGCAGCCTGTGGTTCCCCACCACCACCACGAGGCCTTACATCTCCACGTGTTTTTGAGATTTTTTTTTTTAAATATTTATTTATTTGAAAGGGTTACAGAGGTAGAGCCAGAGAGAGAGAGGTCTTCCATCTGCTGGTTCACTCCCCAAGTAACTGCAATGGCCAGAGCTGAGCTGATCAGGAGCCAGGAGCTTCTTCCGGGTCTCCCACATGGGTGCAGGGGCCCAAGCACTTGGGCCACCTTCCACTGCTTTCCCAGGCCACAGCAGAGAGCTGGATTGGAAGAGGGGCAGCCGGGATGCAGCGCCCGTATGGGATGGGGGCACTGCAAGTGGTGACTTTACCCGCCATTTACAGCCCCGGCCCTGAACGGTTTTTTAAAATCTCTCCTAAGGTGATTCTGATGCTTTGGCACCAGGAAAGGCAGTGGCCTGCGATTGAGGGCCGAGCTGTTTGGGAATGGCCTGTGCTAGCTGTCCCCTGAGTCGTGGGAACGAAAGCCCAGCGTCTGCCTTCCTCAGACGCCCGCCCCCGTGCTTGCTGCTGGCATCCCCCACCAGCCACAGGATTCCGCCCGCGTCCTTGCCCGGCCACTGATAAACAGCACACTGACGGCAGCAGCTTGTCCCACGCAGCCAGGCCGCCACCTCCCTAAGGAAGGACCTTGAGCGGCAGCGCTGGCCCCGCTCCTGCCCCCTTGCCCGGTCCCTCAGCCGCACAGCTCTGTGGGCTGAGAAGGCAGGGCGGGGAGTGCCGAGGGAGGCGCCCACGCAGCTGGCAGTAGGCACCCGCCTCCCTCTCTGGGACCGTTCTCCTGGCCACACTGGACCCAGGTCACTGCCCCCCACTCCCCTGCTGTGTCCCTTGCATCCCGCTCGAGGTGGAGAGGGGCTGGTGAGGGGCGCGCACTGGTGACCTTCGGCAAATCCCAAGTGTCTTCCTTCTTGAGTGGAGGCCATGAGCAGTGACTGTTGGGAATGCTTGTTGGTGTCCCCATGCGTGCTGTCAAGGTTATGATGTGGAGCCAGCGCTTCTGTCCCTCTGGTAGGAGGCAAAGCAGGAGCACCCTATAGCCCGGAGACCTGGGTTTGTTTTGTTTTAAAGAGTTGGGTGCTTTTTTGAGAGGCAGAGTGACAGAGAGCTCTCCTCTGCAGGCTCGCTCCTCACAGGACCACAATAGCCAGGTCTGGGCCAGGCTGAAACCAGGAGCCAGGATCTCCCGTCTGGGTCTCACGTGGGTGCAGGGGCCATCTTCTGCTTCTTTCTCAGGTGCATTAGCAGGGAACTGGATCAGAAATGGAGCAGCTGGGACTTGAACCCGCACTTGAGTGTGGGATGCAGGTTTTGCGAGCGGCAGCTTCAGCACCACAGCACTGACTGTCGAGAGCCGGGCTTGACTCCCAGCTCTGCACTCAGAGGCTGTGTGACTTTGGCTTGGCCACCTTTGATCTCTGTAATGCTTTGGGGACACCGGTCCTGCCCCTCAGGCAGCGCCCGCCCGTGAGGTGGCTGGTGTGACCCTGCGCTGGTATCGGGGATGCTGATGAGTTTGTCCCCGCCTCCTCACCCGGCTGTTCAGCCCTGCCTCCTGTCAGGGCCCCCTGCTGGGGCTGCTGATGTTCC